GTGCCTGAGGGGAAAGATTACAGTGGATTCCTGTGGCTGATTGCTGTCCAGTGACCTCAGGTGGAATGTCTGCATGGGTGAACTTTGTTGAGGATGAGAATAAAACTCAGCTGTGATGGTCTGTGGTTGCTGACCTCTGGTCTCCAGACTCCTGTATCAATAACAACAAGATTACATTTGTGTAGCGCCTTTCACGTTGAGAGGATGTCCCAAGGCGCTGATCAACCACAATGGAGCGTTACAAAAGTGCATCCTATCAAACAACAAGAGTTGACAAATTGGGAGGAATATAAAATAAAATATAAAATTAGCATTCAACTGCACAAGTAGTGCATCATTTCCATGGTAAGAGAATTATTGGGGTTTTAGAGTTTTGTTCCTTCTGAAAGTGGTGATTCATGGGCACCAACCAACTTGCCCACGTCGCGATTCTTCGTGTCTGACCCAAAAAATGAGGGTTGACAAGTTCTACAACTCCAGGGTATAACCTAATGTAACTCTTCTCTATATACTATATATAATATATAATATACATACACCCACATATACACACACACAGAAGATCAACTAATGGCACTGACTTGTGTTTGAATCCGAGACCTTTGTGGAGTCCTAGAATATTTGCTGTACAGAAGGACATTCAGCCCATCTCATCTATGCTGGTTCCACTGTAACTATCTACTCTAAACCCAGTGCCCTGCTCTTTCTTGATCCTTCCTAATACTAATACACTGTGTAGTCCCAACAGAGCCATTGGCGAACTGTGATATTTTAATATTTAGGTGGTCCCAGCTGTAACAAGCAGCAGAAAGCGTGCTAAACAGTGCTCACAGGGCCAAGCGATATGGTTTTAGCTGGTTAAATTTCGGCAGTACTCCAATGTACGCTCTGGGATCCCCAAGCCTTGGCTCTTGCCAACCCACAACTAATACTTTCCAGAATGAGGTAAGCAGGATGCCTCCCCACAGAGATAGTGCACATTCCATTCCAGATACAGGGAAATTTCCATGTGCTGGTCACATACATATGTGGAACTCTCAATCTGGTTTGGATACTGAGCACGGTGATGAGCTTCTGCATGTGGCAGATCTCGACCAACCAAAATAAATAAATAAATAGTCTTCCTGTAATTTGTCTACTTGCCTTTCACAGAGAATTGAACAAAGCCTCCCGGTTATCAGTTTAACATTACCTCTCCAGCCGTGGCCAGTTGCATTCCACAGCATGACATTTCCACAATCCCAATGAAATTGGAGCTATTGTGTTCCATAAAGCACTTGGCCTTGATCCCTGCACCTGACTTCATAACCTTCAACCCTCTTCAGAACTGGATACTCACCCAGACCCTTTTAAATGGAGCTCATCATTAGCATAGCATGTTTGATTAGACATGCTTTAGGTAATAATGTGCTACTTTGTGGTGTGTTGTGTGTGTGTGTGTATTGTGGTTTGTGAGTATTTTGGTGTGTGTGTGGGGGGTTAAAGTATTACTGATAACTAGTTATGCTTGAGGCTTGTGCTTGCATTATAACAGTGCAGGCTGCGTTATTGGATTGATCCCAGAAGGTACTGCCTCCCGACAATTTCCAAGTGACTCCTATTCAGTAAGGACCGGTGGGTGGATAAAAAGCAAGAGCAATGATGCAATGCCCCAGTTCACAGAGAGCATTGGCTTCCAGCCGCCACAAACAATGGACATCTTTGTCCATTTTGTTAAAATTTAATTTAGATTATTCCCATCATTTTGCCATATTTTGCTGGGATAGCAAAATTAATTTAGGAAAACATAATACATGTATGTTACTTGCTCCTGATTATTATAGTTGGGATAGGCCCACAAAATGTTCTTGGAACAAATGCAGTTTCCTGGGTTATATTTCTTTCTTAACTTACAATTCTTTTCTCAGAAGCATGGGCAGTCTTGTCCCATCTGCACAGCTGTAAGTTTCATGTTTGACATGATCTGTTTTCTTGCTTGATTAGCAACAAAGATATCATTGACTTTCCTCTGAGAAATGGCTTCTTATTTCCTCCCAGCTATGTGACACCTGCACAAGCCTTCATAGCAAGTTAGTTAAGCCACAGGGATAGGGATTTCGGTACCTCAGGATTTTAATGGAAAGCTCCGTGCATGCCCTGGTTTGATTCTTGCATTTCAAAGACATGCACTCGTGACATTTTTAATTCTTTGTTTGTATTGAATTGAAGCTCAGACATATCCTCTTACTGTTGTCCTTTGCTGACTACAGCTAAACTTGTGTAGTGTAATTATAGCTGGCAGTGAACTCCTACTGGCCTCTGCTCATTTGAAGTCTGCACCTTTAGGGGGAATAGACATACATCTGCAGTTGGGATGCTTGATTCGGGCCTGCCAAAGCTGATTGAATTGTGTTTAATATACTATTCATTTACTCAATATAAGCGCCTGTGGCTGTTTTTATAAAATTGCCGTGGTGAGGAAAGTAGAGGTGTTGAAACTCAAGCATTCCTCTTATAATATTCATAACCCTTGCATTTAATATGGTGCATTATATGTCAGGAGGGCTTCACAAAATGCTTCGTACGATTTACTGTGAATTGTTGTGATTGTATTTTGTAGGTGAATGTGGCAGCCAATTTGTGCACAACATGGTCCCACAAATAAACTTTTTTTTCAGCAGCCAGATATAATAAGCCAAACTGAGAGTTGCATTTATCCCACGCATACACAGAAATCCCAGAAATATTTGTTGGAATGGAATGCGCATTCTCTTCCTGAAGGGACACATTTTGCTTACCTGATTCTGGGAAGTATTAAGCACAGGGTAGCAAGAGCCAACACTCGGCAAGACCCCCAGAGTGTTTGTTGGGGTACTAAAACCACATAGCTTGCCATTGGTATCACTGTCTGGCAAGCTTTCTCACTGCTTGTCCAGCAAGGATCACCCTACCCGCTAGGGCCTTGTCTTGCAGGGTTAACAGGAGCTGATGAGTTGATTTCATGCCCTTCCAATCCTGTCGATGAGCCAGGGAGCGCAAGCACTGGAAGCTTTACATTGAGAGACCATGGAGTTTGGGGATTTTCATTCCACGCGTATAACATCATTGTGTAAATCTGCTGATGGTGTCAATTGCTTTGTGCATGCACGAGACTGTTGAGAAGTTTTTGTTTCTAATTGTCTGATACTGAAATAACACTAGTGGAGCTCGGGAGATGTGCCTGGATATCCGATGACTTTGCGCCTGGTTTTCTTCTCTCAGTTCTGTTGCCATTGATTGTGTAATGGGAAAAGAGCTCTTGTGCAAGTGTGGTGACATAAAGATGTGCTCACGTCAATCATTGTTTCATTTGAAATAAATATGACAAATTTGCCTGGAGCTAATGTGCTTCATAAAAATAAACAATTCAGTGACTGGCTCTCTGTCGGCCTTTTATCCTTACCACATCCTTGATCTTGTGGGAAACTGTTAGCTCTGACCCAATAATACTGGGCAGTGTTCAGTGAAGTCAAAAAATTACTCAACTTCAGATACCTTGTGGAGTCCTGTAGCTTAGTGGTTAAAGCATTCACCTTGCAAGCAAGAGGACCTGGGTTTGATTTCCTGCAGGGCGAAACGTTGGGCAAGTTTCCTTACTCCACACGCCTCTGTTTACCTAGCAGTAAGTAGGAACCCGGATGTTAGTTGATTGGCGGATCGCTTTTCTGGGGATAATAATCCCTTCAAAATAAATAAAAATAATTTGGTCATTCAATCCACGATTGTTTGTAGGACACTGCTGTGCGCAATTGGCTGCCGCATTTCGCCCACAAAATGTACAGTCAGTTCACTTTAGGGTATATTCTGTGAAGCACATTGAGACATCTTGAAGATGCGATAAGGCGCTACATCAAATGCAAGGATTATTATCTTTTGCTGGAGTCCATCATGAAGTTAAATTCTATGATCAGCCTCCTTTCCAGCATGACCCCAACAACAGCAACAACTTGGATTTATACTGTGTCCATTACAGAGGACAATGTCTCGAAGCACTTCACATTGGTGGGGTTGGACACCAAGCAAGGGAGAAGGGGGAGGGGGACGCCACTATAGCAATGATTGTAGAGGTAGGTATTAAGGTGGGATTTCAAGACAGATAAAGAGGGAGCAAGGCGAAGAAACAGAGGCAGGGAATTCCACTTTGTTAGGAGGTTAGCGGTTAGGACTCGATTCAGCACTGCACCCTTTCAGGAAATTCTGTAGTAAATTTAAATGTACAGAATCGAGCCTGCCACAGCAATAAATGCAATGTAAAAATAACCTGAGCCTAGTATCAACAGTGTCCTCACAAACAAGCTGAGTGTAGCTGATTATACCCTCCTGTGGTGTTCTTTATTGAATATGACACGTTTGCCTTCACACTTTATAGTATATCCAGTGAAGCGCTTCGAGACATCCTCTTGACGTGAAAAACGCTATATCAAATGTAAGGATTATTATTGTTTATTTCTCGAGTATTTATCCAGCTCTCTTCTTAACACTGTTTTCACAGCTGTTTGTGGTAAGACATTCCACCAATAGAAACAAATAGCTTTCCCTTTAAATTGTTGCAAAGTCAAAAGAAGCATACATTTAGATTGTTTTATCTATATTGAATAACCAAAATATAAGATCTACTTAGGACAAAAAGAAGTATTTGTAGTTTTGTGAACCATGGGACATGTTCCGTTCCTTATTTAATGAACTAAGTCATAATGTGCTTTGAAATGCATCCCTTCCGTTGTGTATAATGCTAGTGTTCGCACCCAGTTAAAAACCATTATGGATATTTGACTGTTTTCAAGAGCCAAAAGTGGCTGTGCTGAGATTGTTCAAGGAGCAATGTCCTAACTCTATGAATTAGGTACTTCAAAGCACATTTTAATGCTATTCCTTGAATAAAGAACAAAATGTCTTCAGGAAACTGCAATTTTGACCCTGGTTTGTGCGTTTCTTATTGTTTTAACGGTATATTCCTTTTGTGTTCTTTCTCTGAATGACAGATTACCGAACGGGTCCCTGCTTTACCCAAGTGAACAACCAGATGTGCCAGGGCCAGATCAGCGGCATCGTCTGCACCAAAACCCTCTGCTGTGCCACAGTGGGCCGTGCCTGGGGCCACCCCTGTGAAATCTGTCCCGCTCAGCCACACCCCTGCCGCCGAGGCTTCATCCCCAACATCCGCTCTGGTGCTTGCCAAGGTAATGTCTTCCACTCGTTCTATGCTCAGCCTCCTTTCCATCCTGACCCCAACAACAGCAACAACTTGGATTTATACTGTGCCCAGAGTTGGAGTCCCATAGCAAAGTGGTTAGTGTGCTCGCCTCACAAGCAAGAGGACCCAGATTCGATTCCCGGGTAGGGCAAAACTTGAAGGCAGGTTTCCTTACTCCACATGCCTATGTTTATCTAGCAGTAAGTGGTCGATTGGTGGATCGATTTCCAGGGTTAATAATCCCTTAGAAAAAAATAGGTCACTCAGTTTCACGACTGTATGTGGGACACTGCTGCGTGCAATTGGCTGTTGTGTTTCATACACAAAACACACATACTTTACAATATATTCTGTGAAGGGCTTTGAGACGTCTCAACAACATGATAAGGCGCTATATTATTATAATAATAGTTAACTCAGCGTTTACTTGCGTTTCTTCTCAAAAGGGAGGCGGTGGGGACAGATTGTGTCAGCAAGTTCAAGAGGTAATTAAATAGCTATTTGGTAATGATATTAATTGAGGGGTTTGAGAGGTAGAGTAATGCAGTCTTATTAATTTATTAATTTATGAATTAATTACTTTGGGACCATTTCAATGTTCGTTTAATACTGGTTTAATCAGTTTGCAGTGTAGTGGTCTGTGTCTTATCACAGCAATAGCTAGCTGCTATGATAGATTTAAGCTATGTTTTAGATGATCAGGGTGAATTGGGCAGAATCTGAGAAGGAGCTTTGATTGTATAACACAACGGGTGCAAAGTTATTCTGAAATTGGGTCAACAACATTTGACTGTCTAGCTGCAGATCCTCACTGTTCGGTAGGAGAGATCATTGTAAGCCAGTAGGTGGGAGAGCCAAATGGTCAACATGGCAGCAGCCCAAATACAAGGCTATTAGAGGCAATGGGAGGCACTGTTTAGCATCTGTTCTCCAGGTGCATGATAAACTGCCTTTTACGATGATGCAGATACAGCAGCTAATAACTTAAATGCCTTGCACTATCAGGAGCAATTGTCACCAGGTAGATCAGTGATTCAAATGCTGTATGATACTCTTGCCACTAACTTAAGACACTTAAGGTGAGAAAGGTTTGATGTTTGACAGTGATATGCTGGAATATTTTGTGTAAACTACACTTGAGGATTGTGCCTGTTCCAATGAACCAGTGAGATGTGAGGAATTGACAGGAAGTTTGTGACTATTGTAGTTAGTCCAACACAGTCATGTGGAAAATGTTCAAAAGCATTTTATTGAATACTATCGCTTTCACCTAAAGACCCTTATTATCATTCACCTAAAGAACACAGAGGCCAAAATGAATAGTTCACAAGGAATAGTCCACATGGATTCAAAAGCAATAGGTCACATTTTACAAATCAACTCATGTCTTTGAGGATGTGGCTAAATTACTTACAAAATCGTAGGATTGGTTAAGATGAAGAAGGCTCTATGGTCCATCTGATCTCCCTCTTACAGATGACTGACCTACACTTTTTCCACAGTCAAGGAATTGATTTGAATTTTTGATGAGTTTAGTGTCCTGGCCCCTACCACCCTTCCTGGCAACCAGTCATCAGTTGAATCCAATTTCCATTAGTCGATGATTCGATGACTAGAGGGCATCAATTTAAGATCATTAGTAAGGTAGCAAGTAGGAAATTAAAAGGACTTTTTTACCCAAAGAGTGTTAAGCTTAAAATGCTGAATGCCCTATTTGGTTTGTACAGTGAATAAACTGAAGAAACCATTAAAACCAATGTCACTGTAGCCTCCTACATATCACTACATCACAGTGATGCCACAAGAGTTCATTTTATACACCAGTGGTTGTATAGATTATCAATTATAAGATCTAGTTTATCCAAATCAATTCAGAAAATCTCATTTATTATGGGCTACAATCCACAGGATGAATCAGACACCAATTCCAAATCCACTGGATGGAGTAGAAGCCATATTGATATGTTTGGATTTTTTGATCCATTGTTTCATAGCATTTGCATTGAGTTTAAACTATAATAATCTACAATTTAGTGTTAACAATATTAAGTAATAATCTTTAAGCTATTTCCCTGTTGCATTCTTTGAGCCATGGTTTTCTTTGTTCTGTGGAGCCTGCACTACTTCAGGGAAATTGAGTAGCTCCATTGTATTGTGTGGCTTGACCTCTTGCCACAAACTATGACTGGAATTAAATACTATAATTAATTGAACTTAGTCTGCTATATGGATTGCACTGAAATGAGGAGAGGCTCCCAAAAGTTGTATGAGTTTTTGCTGTCAGTTCCAAGTAGGGTATGATTGAAAACAAGTCTGGTTAATTTGTGGTCAGAACAACTACCGAGATTAAACTTGTCTATCAACACTTAAAATACTGTCAATCTTATCCTGTGATTGTTCAGTCTTATCTGATACGTGATCAGCAACCAAACAGAGGAAATACATTTCAACTACAGAGAAACTATTTCATCTGGTGGGGGAATCCAGAACAAGGGGGAATACTCTTAAAATTAGAAGTAGGCCAATCAGGAATGAAATCATTCTTGAAAGCATTTTTCATGCAAAGGTTAGTGGAAATCTGGAATTCTCTCCCCCAAAAGGCTGTGGATTTTTCAAACTTTCAAGACTTAGATGGAAAGATTTTTGTTTAGTCAGGGTATCAAGGGATACGATCAAAGGTGGTTAATTGGAGTTGAGATATAGATCAGCCATGGTGGAACAGGTTTGAGGGGCTGAATGGCCTACTCCTGTTTCTATGTTCTTAATGCATCGTTGAAGCTCTCCTAAGGGGTTAAAGGCACTTCATTTTGTGCAGAACCTGACAACAGAGACCAGAAAATGGCAGGTTGTTATTCTGGTGCTAAGTTAGCTCATCTCATTCAGGGCCTTAACAATTGGCCTCTGCGCTTTTGGGTAAGGGAAGAGAAAAATCAGTCAAGGATATCACACCTAATTGCTATCCAGAGCCCCTGCTGTAACCTGAGTGTGTGGACATTGGGTGAGGAATAAGGAATGTACTTGGCTGTTATGGTCAAATTCCCTTCCAACACTCACAGTGGAGGCTCACAAATATGAGGCACTCTGACGAGGTATTTTAGGGTGACTAGTGTGTGTGTAACACTTCACCACCAGAAGGAAAATGGAGGGGAAGAAAATTGACAGGGATGGATGCCCTTTTTTTTGTAATTTATGAAGCCTTTCCAGCTTGTTATCTGCATTAAACAAATGAGAATGATCATACCTGTCCTAAATGTCAAAGCAGGTGATTTTTTAAAACGCACCACTATCTGGCCAAACTTTCATCCCTCCTCGACTGAAGACATGGCTCCACAGGGACCACAGTTGCCTTGTGGGTCCCTGACCCAAGAGGTCATTATTCAGGTGATGGTTGTGACTGAACATGACTGTGATGGTTGATAGGAATGCCATCAGAGGCTGTCGCAACGTTAGGAAGATCAATGGCGTTCAACAAGATCTGGTTCTGTTAAATAGACGGTCTCAGTAACACCAGGTGAAATTTAATGTGAAGGTAATGTAAGTACAGCTGATTCCTACAGTAATAAATTATGTGTCTGGGGACTTTAGCAGGTATACTCAGACTTCCTAAATACCTGCTTTGCCGGTCTTTGTTCTCGATGGAATGTTGTAACACCTCAAATGCGAGGCCAATTCCTTTATTGCTATTCTTTATGAGTGTTCAGAACTTCAAGGCAGGACAAACACAATATTTCTGAAACCAGGCGGATTGCAATTGGTATAGCGCATTATCAGATCATTGAGACATTTCAAAGGATTTTTACTGTGAAATATAGTGACTGTATTTGTAAGCAAACATGGCAGCCAATTTATGCAAAGCATTGACCCACAAACTGCCATGAAGTGAATAACCAATTTTATTTGGGCGTGAATGACCAATTGTCGGTGAGGACATCAGGAGAAACGCCCCTTCTCTTTCCATGGAATCTTTAACATCAACAGGAACAGGTACAAATAGGTCTTTGGTTTAACGTCTCATTCAAAGAATGGCACCCCTAACAATGACACGTTCCTCCAACACTGCATTGGAGTGTCAACCTGGAATGAGAGTTCCCTCCACCACTCTGGACTCCAGCTCCCTGCTCGTGTGAAAACTCTTCACTGTCCAGCGTCTTGGGACATCCTCCCAATGTGAAAGGTGCTGTAGAAATACAATCTGTTGTTGTTGTTGAGTTCAATGTCCCTACGTGGGGCTTCTATCCGCATTCTTTCTGACTCAGAGGTGAGAATGCTACTAACTGAGCCAAGTTATATTTAAATGACTCCTAGTTGTCATCATAACTGATGTTGCACCTCTGTCACACTCATGCACAGGGGATAGGAAAAAAACTTGTCATCTGATAAAAAATCCTTTTCTTACCTCTGGCTTCCATTCTCAATCTATCGGGGACAACTTCTCCTATCTTCTATTTTCTGGATCCAATACTAACTGTGGTTGTTGCAGTATGCCTCTGAACTTGCATATCTTGTAACTCTCAGCTTCCTATATGCTCCTCCACCATACATGTACAACACACACACACATACACGCTCTCAAGCATTATTGATTAGAACCAAAACTGATCGCATTCTTTCTTACTCCTTCTTTCCCAGGACTTCCAACACTATGAAGATCCTTACTCCTCTCATTCTTTTCTTCCTCTTACAATTAGCAGGCTTTTAAAACCCAAGCTTGGCATTTTCTAGCCACAATGGTTTGATTTGTTTTGCCTTCTCAACTAGTCTTAAATAGATCTTGCATTTGGTATAGCGCCTTTCATGTCGGGAGGATGTCACAAAACATTTCACAGGATTTACTGTACAGTGTAGTGACTGTATTTTGTAGGTGTGAGTGGTAGTCAGTTTGTGTACAGAAATGTCCCACAAGCAGCCATGAAGTGAATAACTAATTTTATTTCCAGTCATTACATACTAAGGGTCTTGCTCTTCAGTTCACTATCTCAATTTTTTGTAAAAATAGTAAGAGTACAACTAAAATTGTGCCCATTTCAGGGATTCAAATTGAGTTACATTAATACGCCTTCCTACTTCATAACAATATTATTTGCTGCTTAATAATCAAATCTTGACTCATTTTATGCACTTAATTTATTGAAGCTGGAAAATATCTTGAAGTAAATTCTACAGAGAAGCCCTGTGCATTAATATACTAATGCACTGCTTGTAAGCAGCATATGCTGAATGCATTAAACAGAGACCCAATGTAGTCCTTTATTTATTTTAGACACCAATGCTTATGAAAACAACTGAAGTCAACTGTTCGTTTCACATATGCTCCTTTTATAGAAGGATTGAACTTGACTGCCTCGTATTTCCAACAGCGGGAATTTCCTACTGCTCATGCCTCATGTACCATAGAGACTTTGATGTAACTTACAACCAATATTGTAGTATTATATGCCCTATGTGATGAATCATCCGCCCACCTTCCTTACAATAATATCGCTTTTATTCTGTGAAGTATTGAAACTTTCTTAAGGCGGAATTTCATTGCAAATTTATATTTATAAATTAAACCTACCGTCGTCATAACAACTTGCTGTATTTCTAAAATATGGTTTTGTTGTAATATTTCCAGATTGGCAGTTTTACTTTTACTAGTTAAACACACATTACAAAGGGCAGCAAATTGGAACATTTTAAGGCCTATCACTTCAACTGTGTTTTGGTCATCTGGACCTAGCTCAGTTCCCAGACAACTGTGTGAAGTGTTTTGCGACCGCCTTCCTGATGTGCAAGGTGCTTGATAAATGTAAATTGTATTGTATTTTCATATATTTTTAGATACCCAAAGCAACAGGCAAAAGGAACATAGGAACAGGAGTAGGCCATTCAGCCCCTCGAGCCTATTCTGCCATTCTGTTAGGTCATGGCTGATCTGTACCTCAACTCCAATTGAGGCATACTGCACAACATGAAATCTCAGTACTTTGTCATATCCGTAGGTACCTCTGATTTATAATAAATGTTAAAATTGGGACAAAGTATAAGTTTACAGGTTTGGAATGGAAGTAACTAGCTTATCTTGCTGTAACAGTGTGCATTGATGTAATTTCCTTTTGAATGTGATTAGTACAATTATACTCCATTCTCTTGGTTTAAAAAAATTGTACCAAACTTTGGCGTGCAAATCAAATGTATGCAAGAGGATTCCTTAAAACTACTGAAGATAATAACCATTTCTGAAGCGTAAGCTTCCTACTGGAGAATCTTTATGTTGCAGTGATCATAACTGTACTCTACATGGAGTCTGACCAGCTTCAGGATTTGAACTCAACTGATTTGGCATTATTCCGCTCGTCCTGTTCGCTTTGTGAATTGTTGCCTCACATTGTTCGGAGATGGTCAATAATTAGTTAATTAACAAATTTTGTGAGGAAGGGGGTAGGGGAGAACAGGAACAGTACAGGTAGCATCTCGGAGCATGTAATTGTTTAAATGTCAGATGATATTTACACTCTCTCCCGTGTTTTCTTGTAAATGTTCTGAAATTCCACTGTGCTACACTGCCAGGTTCTCCTTCTCTGCAGCTCATTACATACGAGGAGGTGTTTTGAACATTCATTCTCAGCTGCATTGGGCATATGTTAAAATTTGTCTGTTCCCATAAACCAACTGTTTCAGATTGTCGAGCCACCTCTAGAATTTGCTGTAAAACTGTCAGAACTAAATCTGTTTTGTGGTGTTACCACCGTAACTTTGGCACCACGTTCATGTCAGTAACCATTTCAATTCATCACCAATTCATATAATAATACTGGTCAGTTGCAAATTGACACATGTACACTGCATCAGCCAGTCCTATCTTAAGCGCATGAGATGACACTGTCAAGAGTCATATATAAATGAGTTGATCTCAGGATGCATCTAATACATCCTCCTTCACATGCAGACACACACACAGATTTCTCCTACTTGGTAGTTGATCTCAATATTAATCTGCTTCCTCGTTCTCCCCTGCACACACACACACATACTGCACTAATAGACTGATACTACTAGGTAGCTTTAAAAAACTAGTTGATCTCAATATGAATCTGAATCTTTACCTCTCACTGCTCTGCAAGCCCCGCCCTGCCTGCTCCACCATCAGCAGTCGGGCCTTCAGCTTTTCTATCTCCATCTTCTGGAACTCCATCCTGGAGCACCATCACCTTGCCCTCTCTCTTGCTTCTTTCAAGGCCCATCTCAAGACCTTCCTTTTCGACCATGCCTTCGTTCATCTTCCCTCCTCCACCACCCACCCCCTTGAGTGGAGTCCTGTAGCTCAGTGGTTAGAGCACTCGCTTTGCAAGCTTTGCAAGTTGCAATTCCAGGCAGGGCGAAACCTTGAGCAAGTTTCCTTACTCCACACGCCTAATAATAATCCCTCCAAAACCAAAAATAATAATAAAAAAATTGGTCATTTTCAACCTACGACTGTTTGTGGGACATTGCTGTGCGCAATTGGCTGCCGTGTTCGTCCACAAATATACAGTCAATTCACTTTACAGTGTGTTCTGTGAAGCGCTTTGGGGCGTCCTCCTGACGTGAAAAGCGCTATATCAAATGCAAGGATTATTATTATTATTGTTGTTGAAGCAAGTGCTCTGTGGCATTACCCTGCATGAAAGGCACTACGTAAAGTTCAGAAGTTATTGTCGTTAAATCTGACACTTGACCCTTTGGCTATGAGAGTGGCAATGCCATTGTTTCAATGTACTGCACTCCCAATGGGCACAGGCATAAATCTCAGAATGATATCAATAACTGATAAAAAAAATAAAAATTGCCATCAAATTGAATTTGTAAAAGGTGTCAAATCTCTGAAATAAAGCGAAGTCTTTGAAGCAAATCATTACTTCCAGTCGGAAATATGGGAAGTTCAGGGAGATTGCTTTGCATTACTGTATTAAAACTAAAGCCCTTTGAATTTCCATGTGGCTTATGCAAAATGATTGCAGCTTACTTGAATTGACTGTATATTTTGTGGCTGACACGTGGCAGCTAATTATGCACAGCAGTATTCCACAAACAATTGTGGATTGAGTGACCAAATTCTTCTTTTTTTTAAGGGATTAATCCCCTCGGAAAAGTAATTCCCCAATCGACTAACCGGGTTCCTGCTTAGTGTTAAGTAAACAGAGGTGTGTGGAGCAAGGAAACCTTCCCAAAGTTTCACCCCGCCCGGGAATCGAACCTGGGTCCTCTCGTTTGCAAGGCGAGCATTCTAACTACTAAGCTACAGGGCTCCAATATGGCTCCTCTGTTTCTCAGGAATAATTTCCAGTTGTATTTAAGTCTCTGTGGCCTTAGATGAAATGACAATGATATGCTTGAACAGGAAATAGAAATAACTTCAAGAAGCTGTGCAGCGATCTCCACAACACAAAGGCAGTGAGTTTCTCACAGAAATCATTAATATTGATTGAAAAAATTTCTCCAACATTAGTTTTGAAGTGGTTTTCAACTATGTCTAGACAAAGACCGATTAATATCCCACTGTTTCAACACAGCAAGCTTGGTAACGTCTTGCAAGTCATTTTTTCCCCTTTCATTCAGAGCAGCATCATTTGTTTATTAAGCACATTTACTGAAGACAGATTGCCAGTTACTGAACTGATTTGCTCTTTTATTCCAGATGTGGATGAATGTCAGGCCATCCCAGGTCTTTGCCACGGTGGAAACTGCATCAATACTGTTGGCTCCTACGAGTGCAAATGTCCCGCTGGTCACAAGCAGAGTGAACTAAGTCAGAAATGTGAAGGTAAGCAGCTGGGTTGAGGGGCATGTATAGCAGTGAGTTTATTGCTGCAGTTCAGCAGTTAATGTTCATTCATATGTGACCAGCTGTTGCTTTTTCTGCCAGCTGATCAAAAGTACAAATAGCTAAGAACTTACTTTTTATTTATCCTGTTATATTAATGAAAGAATTGGACAATTGGTGTGATTTGCAGATTGATGTATGTTGATTTTCAGCTTGCACCTGCACTGTTGCTGATACAGGGCCAAAGCCAAAGCCAATCTGTTATTTGGCTCAGTGTAGGTGTCTTTTATTACCACTTTACATTCTTGAAGAGATGGCTGTTTGGGAATCTGGGTCACTTGACTATACTGTTAAGGAGGCTGAAAAACAATCATCATGTGATGTCAGTAAAATAATATTATAATGGAAGTTAGATATCTAAAATCGAAGGCAAATAATTATGTTGTACTGTATGTATGTGTGGGTTTCATGGACAACTCTTTTAGAAGATACAAGTGGGTAAGTGAACTGGTGTGTATTATATAGAATAATGAATGGTTGAGGACAGAAACATAGAGAAAGGGGGTTGGATAATAATTATTATAATATTAACAATTTATCCTCTTTGGTGAACATTCAAAGAACATGACCTCTCTATATAATCTGTGTCCTTTTTGTAGTGCAAATTGTGCTACACTTCAGTTGTCCATTTGTTTTAAGATTGACATGAGAAAGGTTGGTATGTCAAGTACTCTTAAATTTGAGTTATTTTGTGGCTTTTGCGACAAGCCACTGCACACACCACATGATGGGTCAGATCTAAATAATTCATAGGCTCATTGTACAGATTTCAGCTTTACGCTTGTACTCCCTGTTACAGGGTGAAACCTTGGGCAAGTTTCCTTACTCCACACGCCTAATAATAATCCCTCCAAAAAACAAAACATTAATAAATTGGTCATTTTCAATCCATGACTGGGAGTCACTGCTGTGCGCAATTGGCTGCCGCGTTCACCCACAAGTATACAATCAATTCACTTTACAGTATATTCTGTGAAGCGCTTTGGGACGTCTAGAAGACGTGAAAAGCGCTATATCAAATGCAAGGATTATTATTATTATAACTAGGGCACTCAGGAATTTGTACACGTTTCAGGTATTGAAGTCCTGGAGAAATCATCTCATCTCATTTAATTTCTTTGTATATATATTTTGCCCACAAAATATATGGTGAATTCACTTTAGACTATATTCTGTGAAGCGCTTTGAGATGTCTCGAAAACGTGATAAGGTGCTATAACAAATGCAAGAATGATTATTATTATATACAAACAGCAATTGCTGGTTTGTTTTTTTTTTGTTTAAAGAAAAGGATCAAATTTACTAGGAGACTTATTACATCCTTGGACATGAGTGCGGGGGTGGGCTGAATTAGGACAACATCAAAAGGGATGGTTGTTATTGGAAACTGTCTAGGCTATTCTAGTGGAAACAAAAATGGACCATGAGGTCACACAATCCTTCAGCTTCTTGTAATTGTCGGTTAAGAAGCCTTGATGTGGGTAAGATAATCCCCTTATCCATGTTTTTGTATGAAAATGGGTCGAAGTTAAATGGTTTTGTTCAGTAAACTGATTGGAAGGATTACGTTTCTCTTCTTTCATCGCACAGAGCCATCACTTGTTGTTTTTAGAGCTGCAGTCAAACATACTTGACTCTAGACTGTGATAAATGGACTTGTTTTTGGTGTTGGAGTTTATGGAGATGACCGTCCTGACCCCCAAAAAAGTGCTGTGTCAACATCTCGCTAAACTAGCACTGAGGACTGAGAAGTGGCGCCAGTTCCAAGATAATCTCACAGCCGGTCCATACAAGAGACCTCTTTAGATTGAGTGACCCTACAGTCTGGTTTACAAATGATCTGCTGCATTGTTAAAAGGAACTGAGCCAGTCCCTGGTATCAGAATAGTTGAACAAACACTGCTTCATATCACAGGAAATTAGGAACATACAGGACTGGAAAAGAATATTTGATGGATCCCAAATAATGATCCTCAATCTTTACTGAATCTTAGTTGTTTCTTCAAGCTGCTTTCCAATTCTCTCTTGAATTTGTTTGTTCAGTCTGCCTCCACCTATTCCTCATATGCACACACTTTAAGTGTAATTCAATTTAATTTAACCTATCTGTTCACCTTCCTACTTTTGAGCTTCAGTTTGAGTTCCCTTATGACATAGAATGTTACATCACATCGACTGAGCCAGTGTTTATATTCTACAGGAGCCTCTACGCCTCCTATTTCCCTCTCCACCATGTATGCATCAAGTTTCTTTCCTCTTAAAATGTTGATGCTTTCTATTTCATCCACAGCTTCCAGCAATAAGTTTCACATTCTCATCACTCTCTGCATAAAGGACAGTTCTCTTAAACCTTCTTTTAGATCTGTTACTAACTATCTTATATTTGTGCTGCCTTGGTTTCGACCTACAAACAAGTGGAAGCAGCCACTACTAGTGGAGTCCTGTAGCTCAGTGTTTAGAGTACTCACCTTGCAAGCGAGAGACCTGGGTTCGATTCCTGGCAAGGCAAAATCTTGGGCAAGTTTCCTTACTCTACATGCCTGATAATAATCCCTCAAGAAAAAAATAATAACTAACTAACTAACAAACAATAATTTGGTCACTCAATTCACGACTATTTATAAGACACTGCTGCGTGCAATTGGCTGCCGCGTTTTGCCCACAAATTCATAGTTTATTCTGTGAAGCGCTTTGAAACATCCAGAAGACATGAAAAAGCACTATATCCAATGCAAAGATTATCATTATTATTATTATTAATGTCCATGTTACCAAAATCTTTAATAATCTTAAGCACCTTTATCAGATCCCCTTTCAATCGTCTCCAGAGAGAAAAGTTCTTAATCTGCAATTTTTTGTTACGTGCTGTAATCACCTATGATAACGTCCTAGTAAATCTTCACGGCACTCTCTCCATTGCTACATTATCCTTCCTATACTTTTGGGAAGTATATGCAGCACCCGGGTAAGTGGGATCTAACCAAGGTTTTAGATAAATTTAAAATTCCTTCCCTACTTTTGTACTGTATTGCTTGTTCTAGATTTTCTGTGTTAAACACATTATTCAGGCTCAGTTTACATATAGGATCTTTTAGGATCTTGAAAATTCCTCTCTGAGCGTTATTTTTTCCCCCAATGCCAATCTGCAAGCAGAATCTTTAAACCCAAGATCAGCTTTGAGCCCTTTCAATGTGCTGTTGTTCTCATCAATTTCCAGTCCTGTCTGAGATGAAAAGGAAAGCAGCTCTCTCCAAACAGAAGTCATTTCCAGAATAATCATGTCCCATTGTCACAGGCTGTCCCATGTTTAATTCTCTGCATTAATCACATAGCACCCTTCACCCTTTGAGATAAATAGGTTATCCTTTATTTTCATTAGTTGTAATCGCACCTTCTATGTACAGATCATCATTGGAGACTGTGGGAAAGTGACCACTGACAGTATATCACATGCTGAAATAGTTGTTTTGGTCAGTGGAGGTCAACTGAGGATGTTAAAGCTTTGCCTGGCTACAGACACTATTTTACTTAAAATCTTCTAAATAAACATTGGATAATCCCACTATCGATATGTCATAGAAAATGACTGAGCTGTCTCTTCAGCTGCCTAGAGATAACCTGGTGCCATTCTCCCAGTCGATCTTGTGGGAGATGTGATTATGTTAGGCTGCTCCCAGGTGTAAATGACTCTTTTTGGTATTAATCCTGTTGCCTGAAAATTGCAGCCTGCCTGAGACATGCAAAGCTCTGTGCTTATTGATTCCAGGCTGCTTTTTTTTCCGCGTTACCTCAGTGACTCACAGCTCCGACATGTTGTGCATGCAGTGTACGTGTGTACCTGCTCTTCTCCACGTGCGATTTCTGGGTATTGGCTGTGATACTTTATGAACTGCTAGTTGCTTCCCTGCACTGGAAGGGGAGTTGCTCTATCTTACTATTAAGAGTTTTCTTGGGTGCAGGTGATTCTAAAATAGATAATAATATAATAATAATAATCCTTGCATTTGATATAGCGCTTTTCACATCAGGAGGACGTCCCCAAGTGTTTCACAGAACACACTGTAAAGTGAATTGACTGTATATTTGTGGGCGAACGCGGCAGCCAATTGCGCACATCAATGTCCCACAAACAGTCGTAGATTGAAAATGACCAATTTATTATTGTTTTTGGTTTTGGAGGGATTATTATTAGGCTCTGTGTGGAGTAAGGAAACTTGCCCAAGGTTTCGCGCTGCCTGGAATTGAACTCAGCTCTCTCGCTTGCAAAGCGAGTGCTCTAACCACTGAGCTACAGGACTCCAATGGGAGGAGCCTGAGATGGTTCAAGGCATGGTGAGAAAACAGAAAGGAAGTGGCAATTTTATGAAACAAATACAGTGTCTATTTCCCACTTCCAGTTTGTTTTTTTGAAATTTAAATTAATTACTGTAGCCAGGTGGAGATCTGCTTTTTGTTCCAAACCAGAGGGTATTCACTCCACTGATGTGTACAGCAGGCAGCTGACCTTGTGTCAAATGTTCCCGGATACTGATCCCAAGAGTCACTGTATACATTTACGGCACTTCTGTTCTCCGACCAGGAGATTAGATTTGGTAGGTCTCTACCTTACCGCAGAGTCACTCACAAAAATGAGGAGGTTCTCTTCCTACATGAGGGAAGTGCAGTTTATTTTGCAAATGGTATGATTCAAAATGGTTTCTCTTCATCACCCCGTTCTTCGAATAAAAAAGAGAACACCTTCAGAAAACTCTACTTCTGCTTCGATTTAATGCAAATGTCACAACCACACCTAGGAACTGCAATTGTTATGCAAGATTTGCTTAACTATAGAGATTGTTTTTATAATCCAGGTTTGAGGAATAAGCACTCTACATTTCTCATTACTTGCACCAGTCTGAACCATAGATTACATCAGTTACCAGCATAAATATGGCTCCTCC